CTTGTCTTTCATAAAGGCCGAGGTCAGGGATCTTGGGCCTAAAAAGGTTGGTGACCACTGCTGTAGACTCTTCCTATTGGCTGAACAGCAGTTACATTTAGATATGGATGGGCAGATGGCAGATGAGACCATAGACATGGAAAATCAGTGATTGATGTCATGCCGTTTTCTTGTGAAACTCTCTGCCTTTGAAACCTACTGGGGGTGATTAACATGTCTGACAGGGTCACACACACACACACACACACACACACACACACACACACACACAGGGATGATGTATCTGTGTGTGACTGTTCTCCTGTGGCATTACGTACCCTTCAAGCATATATTGAGATGACTATTATATGACAACAGAAAATTCATTCTTGCATGACTAAGTGAGCCAGGGCACGTGTACAAATGCACATCATTTAAATGATGTAACACACATCAAGCTACACTATTGTAATGCCTCAGGTGGTGACACGTATTACTGCTGGACCACTGGACACAGCCTTACCATGCAGTTCATTGCAAAGTGGTTGTGCTGGGTCTGCAGCTCAAGCACATGCTGATGGTTGGCTCCTATCTCTGTGTAGGTTGTCAAGAACAGGCCTTTATTATGGACGATCCAATCGAACATCTGTTGAGAGGAGACATGGATTTTCTGATAAACAGTCAATATGTTAATATTAGGCATGCTAATAAGCAACTAGTTAATAGTGAGAATTGGTCCCTATAATAAAGTGTTATCTATTATGTTATGGTCCCAACCCTATGTTATATGTAAAACTATCCAGTTTTCTCCTTATTAAACTTCACATATAATTAATGTTCACACCTTCTCTGCATCCTGCTGAAAGAGTCTCAGCTGGAAGCACTGATCCAGTTTAATTTTGCGCATGTGCCAGGATTGGTGCAGATGTTGGCGTGTGGCGTGGAGTTTATCCAGAAGCGCCTGGACTTTTGGAGCTAATCCCTGGATATCTCCTCTGCCTTTTTCCCCACACTGAATTCGCTGAAGCAGGCGTTGACCCTCAGTATCTAACTCCTCCACAGGAGCTTTAGCAACTTTTTTCTTCAGGGAGGCGTGTTCCTCCATAGCACGCCGAGACCCGTCCAGGTCTGACGGCAGCTCCCGCTGGGACACCAAGTCCTGGAGTTCTTCCAGACGGGAAAGGATACGAGCTGCATTGCTCATGAAGTCTTCAAAGGCCACTCGAACTTCGATCCACTCCTCGTGGTCATAATCCAGACTGCCCTCGAAGTCTGGAGTCAGCTGGGAAGGATCAACCACTTTGGTCAAACCCTCGAGGGACACCATGATGGTCTGAAAGGATGGAAGTAGGACACTTAGGTTCATTTTCTGAATGTAGCAGGTTTTTAGATCTAATCTATTGAACATTTCTCAATTTCATTTAGTTTAACTGCATCCTAACTGAAATGGAACCCCATGGAACACTCTACATATCTACATATGCATTAACTCTGTATGTCACAGAACTAGGACTCCACATTAAAAGACTTAAAGGATTAACTCACTTTCAAATAAAAATTTCCTGATAATTTACTCACCCCCATGTCATCCAAGATGCTTACATCTTTCTTTCTTAAAGAAATTAAGGTTTTTGATGAAAACATTCCAGGATTATTCTCCTTATAGTTGACTTCCATGGCTACCAAACAGTTGAAGGTCAAAATTACAGTTTCAGTGCAGCTTCAAAGGGCTCTACCAGACGAGGAATAAGGGTCTTGTCTAGCGAAATGATCGGTCATTTTCTAAAAAAAAAAAAAGTATATGCTTTATAAACAAAAATGCGCACCTTGCACTGCATGTAATACGTAATTACGTTGAAAAGGTCACACTTGACGTAGGCGGAAGTTAGGTTCCAAAAGATTTAAACATCCAGGATACGCACACGAAGTGACCATTTTAAACGATAAACTGACACAAAGACATTTGAATATGTGTCATTGAACATACAACAACTTTTAAACGGTCCAACTTCTCCACATTTGTAAACACTGACTGAGTCGGTACTTCCGCCTATGTCAAGCTTGACCTTTTCAACGTAATTACGTGTTACGTGAAGTGATGAATGCGCATCGCAGAGCAGTGCAAGGCGCGCATTTTTGTTTATAAAGCATATACTTTTTTTTTTTTTTTTAGAAAATTACCGACCGTTTCACTAGATAAGACACTTATTCCTCGTCTGGTGTCGTGTAGAGCCCTTTGAAGCTGCATTAAAACTGTAATTTTGACCTTCAACCGTTTGGTAGCCGTTGAAGTCCACTATAAGGAGAATAATTGTGGAATGTTTTCATCAAAAACCTTAATTTCTTTTCGACTGAAGAAAGAAAGACGTAAACATCTTGGATGACATGGGGGTGAGTAAATTATTAGGAAATTTTCATTTGAAAGTGAACTAATCTTTTAACTAGCAATTGATTTTTCATTTATATATTTGTTTTGAGATTTTGAGTCTTTATATCTGGAGTGTCTCTATAACGCCCTGATTAAATTATTATAATTATAATTACTAGGGGTGTAATGGGTCTTTTGGTTCGGTACGCATGTGTAGCGAACAAACACAGTATTGTTTTAACCACTGCATGAGTAAAACTTCATTGGAAACTTACAGTTTTATACTTTTGATAAGAAACAAAGTATCATCTTACAAATTATGCCCATTTTTTCCAGGAAATTAAAACAATAAATGCCATTCTGGCACTCTTTGATGTGGCGAGACAGATCACTGTATAAACACCTTAGTTCAAATGTTCAAATGGCAGCACGCAGTGTGAGTCAGCGTGATCATCCTTTCCTCCTTACTACTAGTTTTAACATGAAATAAACATGAATGATCATGCCTCACGTAATCACTCAATCAGTGTTTCAACCGTGGAAAGACATCAACAAAACAGCTTGTAAACAAAATGTCACGTAGCATTTCATTTACCTCAGGCAAGTCATCAGTGTTCAGGTTGTTAGTTCGCTAGAGAAATTAAGTCTAGAGAAGAGCATTTCACGAAATATTACACTATATACACATTAAATTTTACTTTACCTGTTAGTAATGTCTTTAATAATACTTTGAATTAGCATTTTATTTTAATTTTAGTTTAGAAATATACATATAAAACATATCAGTATGTTCAACTTTATCCATACTTACATATTGCATATATATATATATATATATATATATATATATATATAAAAATATAGTAAAGACAGTACTATCGTTGTCAGACTCTGTTCCATGTTTTGTCTGTGTCTTGCTCCCCAGGTGTTCCTTTCCCATGTTTAATTTGTCCCAGGTGTTCCCCATGATGGTTCATGGATCCCAGGTGTG